GGGCAATGACATTGTACCCTTACCTTTGCTTGACCATCTGGTAAGAATAGATATGCTCCACTTTTATCTTTACTCATCCTAGTACCATACATCACAAAATCCACTGACAGTGATGTAGTCTTCCCATCAGACTTGGTAGTAAGAGACTGATAAAACAACATATAATATTATAAGTACACCTGACATCAGTTACCATGACATCCATATAACTATCTCTTACTAATTTGACTATGTTTGTCAGTTGTTTTGTTTTGTTTTTTGAGACAGTGAAAGTCATGACATTTTGTTGGGCCTCTACGACATGGAGTCCCACAGCAACTTTTTGTTATCATTCAGTATGCATGTTTCAGGGCCTAATTGATAGTTGGTAGTATCATTTAATACACGTATGTCAATCTGATATTGTAGAAAAATTAATTATTCACTGATTTTTAATTTCCATATTTTTGTTGATAAGTAAAAGTTAACTGCAAACACCAAAAATTGTTTATAAATTCTTTAATTTTTTTTTTCAACAAACACGACAGTATTTCCCCCCATCTGCAGCTTTTATTTTAAAAGTCACTGCTAGTCATTAGTAATCACTCAGACTTCTGTCCACTAGAATGAAATGTTTCTTACCTGTAATAAGCCATTATTCCCTGAGAACTTTGCAGTAAGGAATGCATTTTCAATTGTAAAGTCACCATAGTTACCAATCTCTCGGAAAACATGGAAGAAACCCCTAGGATGAAACAAACAAAAAAGACTGTTGGACTTCTACAAATGAAAGTGATAAAAACACAAAAAAAATACAGTACTGTAAAATAATTTATTTTTGCTTGGAATTAATTTTTGCTATTTTCAGTGAAATATATTGAGTGAAAATAAAATCTAGCAAATATACCTTTTTTCCTATAGTTTACATTCAACTTGTCAAAAATCAATGAAAATAAATTCCATACAAAACAACAAAAGGTTTTTTAAACGAAAATTTATCTCCCTCACTTGGTAGCGCCGCTGAATTGCAGTGCTCCCTCTTGCAGTTTTTTTCTAGAAAAACTCCTGATAATTATAAATTTATACCAAAAATGGAAAATGATGGAAATGGGCTTGTTACACTGGATTTTTTGGTGAGTTTTTGTCTCAAAAATTTGCTTGATGATATGGTATGAAAAATGACATATCTAATCATTATACAAATCTTAAAAAATTACATATAATTCAGTTTCTAGGTGATAATGGTTTTCTATTATTTAACTGCATTGAACCACAATTTGAGGTCCTTTCCCCTATCAGTAAACTGATTTGTATACACAGCTTTTCAGATTAGATATAATTTGTTAGTGTAAATTCTCCAATAGATGAGTTATAATATTGAGGCGATTAAAGTCATGCATGTAACTTTCCTTTTTATATGCATTGTAACCTGTTCCCCCAGGTTAGTGGGGTATATTTCTTTAGAGAAATGGATATAAAATGATAAATAAAAAAAAAAAAAAAAATGTATTTCTTTCCCATAAAGCATTGCATGTACCCGGTA